AGTGGCTTTCGTGCTATCCATATCATGGTAACATCCATTCGTTCACTGGCCTCTTCTTTTGTATTTGTTACTCTTGTGCCAAATCTCTGTAATTGGCCTCCGAGACAAAATTACCCGATCTGATCTTTACTATTTGCTTCTGTTCGGTCAGCCCTTTGTGGCATTATCTATTCTGAGTAATTGTCTAATGTATACGCCCTCATCCTTTTCTTTTACTTGTTCTGACATTGTTAATGTATAGTCAGTGACTATTAATCTTGAGGAATGCACCTTAACAGCTTCATTGTTATGTTGGAGTAATGTATCCTAATTGATTGATTGCCATGTAAAATTACTATACTTTTGTCGTGAGCTATATCCTTACTCAGACATTTCCAGGAAGTCCAAGAGAACTGGGTAAACAGTGCAGGCATATGCTGAGGATCCACTAACTAATTGGTTTTTCTCTTTTCGATACTGGTGAAGGAATTAGTTGCTCAGATGAGTGCGGTTAGACCCATGCTTATGGAATGACAATTGAGCCAGCTGGAAAGGAGAGAAGGAGGAAGAAGACAAGGGGAAGAGCAGTAGCGATGGAGGATTTGTTCATTAGTGGAGCAGTCAGTAGTTCTGTGGCCACAAACATGACTCCACGATGATATAACAAGGTGTAGAGCTGGATGAACACAGCAGGCCAAGCAGCATCATAGGAGCAGGAAGGATGATATGTCGCCTCCTGGTGCCAACGTCAAAGTAAGTGTAGGTCATCTGGGGAATTGTGAACAGACAGGTACCAATGTTTTATGCAAGAAGGGGGAATGACACCTATAAAGCACATTTTATGAAGTGAGTGGGGAGATTGAAAAGCAGTACCTCTAAAGCAGTAATTTCAGGATTACTCAGTCCTAAGTGCTTATGAGTATTGGAATAGGAAAGTACACCGATTGAACATATGGCTGAAAAATTGGTGTAGGAAGGAAAGCTTCAGATTTATGAGACATTGGTACAGTACTGGTGCAGGTGGGACTTGTACAAGATGGACAGGTTACATCCTAGGGTGGGATTAATATCCTCAAAGGAAGACTTGCTAGTTCTGTTGGGTACAGTTTAAACCAGATTAGCAA